GCAGGGCTGGCTCCAACCCTGGTGGAAACTCCGTGGATTTTGCAGCAGTGATGGATGGCTCCGTGGTGTTAACAATAGCAAAGAAGAAAAACTGTTTTTATAGCTATCGTGATGTGATCCAGCTCTGCATAGCCACACGAAGCAGGCCCGTGGAGCAGCAAGGTGACAGTTTTATGTGTTAGCGTTGGGAGCAGAGCTGGGCTCTCTGAGGAATGCCCGTGAGAGCTTGTCGCTGGGTCAGTTGTACTGGATCCGTAACGATTTGTATACATGGCTCAGAGACCCCAAATAAAGTATTGCTTCTCATTGTGATATTGGCCATAATTTGCTCCAGTGCCTGGCAGTTTCAAATTATTTGACAATAAAAATGTCAGCAGGCCTATAAAAGTTAAAGCATGTTTAGAGGAAGATGATGCTCTAATTTAAAAAAAGTTGTATACCGTGACTTTATGAAGAAACCGGTCTTGGCCATTGATAGTCCCCGGTTTGGAAGCTTAAAGTGATACCAGAATGTTTTGTGGGGCTTCACAATCAGAGGTTAAGGAAACTAAAATCAATATCAAACCACATGTTATTTTTCTGGGCTTTAAAGCCAAAAAGTAACTTTAAATGCATTCTGTGGTGCCAATGTTTTGTAAAGGTGACAAGGCCACGTCTTACTGCATCTGTATTGCTTGAGCGTGACTGCAAGGCGAGCGTGAAGAGCACTTTTGCTCATAGTATCATGTAACCTTTTCAATTACAGCAGTGACTTGCAAGCCTTGTGTTTGCTTTAAAAGGAGCAGCACTTAAGCACCCTTGAAATCTTCCACATTCTCCTGCAGTGGGCACCTGGAGCAGGACCCCAGTCCCATGGGACCAGTTAGCAGTGAAACCTGGAGCCCCCAGGAGAGGACTGGAAAGACTCTGGCAAGAGAGGGAAAAGTTTAGTCATTTCTTTCTCTAATACTTGTGAAGTTGCAAGGCATGAGATGTGTGGTTATGCTTCGTTTGGACTTTGCACTGTTTTATGTGCAAAATAATTGTAAGCTGTGATGTCAGGACTGTGAAAGCAGTGAGTGATTTTTGAAGGTTACTTTTCAAGCAGATGCAGAAGGCAGATTTTGTTTCACCATATTAGCTAATACTATATTGCTGATACACAAGCAAGTCTTTCTGTCAGTAGAGTAACTGAAAGGTTATCTGATTTTTCTCATACTTCGTGTTGTTCAACTTCAGTTAATAATGTTTACAGTATTTTGCAACATGTATAGGATGAAAGATTATAAATCATATCTATACAGAACTAAAGCCTCCCTCAGGAGATTTATGTCCATACTTCCAAATAGAAGTTTGGAGTATTTTTTGCCGTGCATCTTTTACATATGGTAGAACTTCATATTGTTTCAGGAGAAAAAAACAGGGGGATGGGGAAACAGTATCAGGGAATCCTTAGAGAAGGCTTGGACCTTCTGACTATACATTATGCTTATATACCATGCACTTTTCACCCTGGAAATGTGGCCAGGTAGGTTTTCATTGGTTTTACTTCGGGCAAAGTGATACAAAGCAAGATTAGCTTTCTCTCCAAAGGTTGCAAAGCAGCTTTGCAATAGGAGGTTTCATCAGATTCAAGTTAAATCAGGGCTTTGACATACAACCACGTGCCTGCCCTTTGATCAGGGATGCTCCGTTTGTGGGCGAGTTCCCCTTCCAGACTCCTCTGAAACCTGACAACCTCAGCACGTCATCCCTGGATTCATTTAATTCAACACTTAACAACTGCATCTTGAAAAGGAAGGTGGGGGCAGGAGGAGCATTGGTCTTGATTAAATGTGTCTTCATTCTACAGAAAAACTTATTCACAATTAAGTTTTGCAATGGACAATATATGCAGTTCAATAGACATGTAACCTATTTCCATTTTAGATAAGTGAATGGTGTTTAAAGATACCATGTTACATTATTGCATACGTTACTAGAGATATGACAATCCTTAATACACTGGCTGTAGATCAAGATATCCTATAAGCCCGTGCCTATTTGTATTTGTGCATTTAATTTGTTTATATTGCTGCTACATTTGATAAAATCCAAATAAGATTAAGTAGCTGTTTCTGTGCGAGATCCCTGTAAGATTATATTATCAGACAGGTAATTATGTGCACACAGTGGAAAATAAAATAAGTCACTTGTATTTTTTTTGTTACCTAAGCGTTACCACCTAACTTCAGGGTAAAATAAATGTGTTTTATTTAGGAAAACAGGATACAAGGAACCAATCTTCACAAACTTCTTGCTGTTAGTCAATAGGAGAAGATAGTAGCTCACATGCATTTTGCTGGAACCGAATGTGCTTGATCACTTACTTTGCCTGGCAAGCAACCATTTGAAACTCAGATCTTCTCAGGCTTCCTTTATTTCCTCAGGATAGTTACAATAATTGGGATATTTCCATGTCTTGGGAAACATTTTAGCTAATGGATATGTTCCCAACTGAAGTTACATGGAAGAAAATTCTCAATAAGTGCCAAAATATCTCCCAAATGTACAGTTTGTTTTGGATGCTTTTTCACTGGAGCATACAGACTGGATGGTGTGTTATTGCTCTGATCTAGAGTTTGAAGGATCATCTTTCCTCATCTCTGCTCTTGTCCGAAAGCCAAAACCTGAACAAATGGTGCTTCCTAGCCTAGGAGTCTTATTCCAGTGCACCATCTGCTTTACATGATCTTTTTCCCCATTATTCCTTGCTATAGTAATCCTAAAAACTATTCACAATCACAAAACTGTGAATGGTTTTCAGAAAATAATAATTTTAAGACTAAAGAAATCCCTAAGGCTTGGCCTGCTGTAAATTCGGAATGACTCTACTCCAGGTAGAACACAGAATTCATGACAAGATCCAGCACCCCTGGACAGGGCTTTAGAAGCTGTTGGTCACAGCCCACCTCTGACCATGCTAAATTATTACTGATAGTTATAAATGGAGCACAGTTGGCCACAATACTTCAATAAACCCACTAAGAACCTTGAAACTTAATTTGTGATTTTGAAATGATTCAGTTTGAGATGGGTTGAAAGATTTGTTATTAATCTAAAGTATAAATATTGTTAGCACGTTAGAGAACATAGTAGCTTCTTACATCATTCCTAACTGTTGCTGCCAGTTTTCTGCATCCTTATGTTTTCTGTTTATTTCTGTAGTTAATTTTTAGAAATGAGCCTAACCATAAAACCAGAACTTGAGGCAGTGTCGATGGCCTTTCTAGTTTTGAGGTTTGGCTGGGCTTGTTTGCAGTTGCTATATTGATCTGAAATCTTGTTTTTTCACCCTGTGGCTTTAAAATTTGCCCTCTGTGTATCTGTTTTCAGTCATCAACTTTCTGTTTTAAAATGCTGCATTTAATATTTAAGTGAACATATGTAGTATTTGTTTGTATTGCCTAAATTGTCACTTATCTCCTAAGTCATCCTGGCGAGGAGTTTGCTCCTGCTGCTTTAAAGCCTGTGCAGTTCTGCACCCGTGAGACGGAGGTTTCTGTTGAAGTTCCCGTCCTGCAGGTCTGGCTGCGGGTGCAGCCTGCCCAGCGTCGGGGCGGGCGGTGACTGCAGCGCCCGGGGCAGAGATGTGCTCACCGAGCAAATTGCAGGGTGCCTTTTAAAATTTCCTGGAATATATCCTCACAGGAACAGGTATCTGTGTGTTCGGTGCAGTAGGAAGAGCCCCAACCATGCTGAAACGTTATTTAGCTTCATCATGGTTGCCTTAATTTCCTTATAACCTGTTGCATTCAAGGACCTGTGCACTGTCAGAGCATGGCTGTGATTGGGACTTGGCCATGGAGAAGGTCTCCCAAGGTGCAACTTTCCTCCTGGTTTTGACTCGCCCTGCTATGGAGCACAAGCAAGAGGAAAGAAACTCCAGAGTTTTCTAAAACAGCTAAGGAAAATGACATTTCTCGTGAAAATGAGTGCTATTTACACTTATCTGGAGTTATTTACACTTATCTGGAGTGTTATTTACACTTATCTATTTACACTAAACTGTTGTTTTAAAAGGAGGTAAGCTAGAAAATTTGGACTATGATTCATTTCTTAAGAAATCAGGAGGTCACTCAAATACTATCTGTCAAGACCAAACAAAGTCCTATATGTAAAATGTGTCTTCTGGTAGTCAATATACGATGATCTGAAGGGTTATTTACTTAGGTATTGTTTGGTCCAAGTGGTTATTTGGTTATTTGCTCATATTTGAGCCTGCTGAAACCAGCACCTTATCAGGGAGGCTCAAGAAGCACAATATTGCAGATGTCTGCGCGATTTCTCACAAGGGCATAAGGAACCACTTACTATTCCCATAGATTGATTTCTGGCAATTGAGCAATCGGTGGTAAATCATTTATTCATGCATGGAATAAGTTTGCTTCTCAAAAGGTAAAACATTTTTTTTCACCCAAAAAAAGAAAGCACATAGAAATTTTTTCCACTCCTGATACTGGCAATTGTACTAAATGTTCTTTACTCACTGGATCTTTCCATAATCCTCTACTCTTTAAGCCTTGTTAGACAAGTTTGTCTTAAAGGAAAGTTCATGTCCAGAGCAGTGGCAGTCAACCCTTATTGGGGACATTTTATTTTAACCATCAGATGCATTATGACACTTAAACACAAAAGGCCATAAATTAATTAACGTTTCTCTGTTAAGTTTTGAGGCTAGACCATCTATGTGGTGCTAGCACTTCTCAGGAGAGAATAAAACGATGTGTTGCTGCTTCTGAAAAACAGAGATGTTTCTGCTAGAAACCAGAACTCAAAAGCTGGATTCTTCATGCGTTTTTTTATCTTCCTTCACATGTTCCTTCAGTGTTTCCACCCAGGCTTGTGCTTCCAGTAAGGGTGTCCACGGCCACCCACTACCAACATACAGTTTATTTTTAAGTGCAGAACAAGAGAAATATCAGTTCAGCTTACTTCTTTGCAATTGCATTTTCATTCCCCCGCCTTTGTTTTCCCCTCAGCCTGTTCGACATGGGTGGCGAGTACTACTGCTACGGCTCCGACATCACCTGCACCTTCCCGGCCAGCGGGAAGTTCACGCCTGACCAGCGGGCTGTCTACGAGGCTGTGCTGAAGGCGTCACGGGCTGTGATGGAGGCCATCAAGCCAGGTAAGCGAGGGGAGCAGCTCAGCAGGCACTGACAAGCCCACAGGCAGTGTTCAGCCTGACAAAACCAATTACACTTGGTTTTAGAAAGAGTTGGAAAGGAACAAGATGACAAAACTCTTGTTTTGAGAGTGGTCCCATGGAGAATGGGGTAAGCTACACAACATTTTCCATACAACACTTACAAGGAAATAATATATGGGCCAATATTCTTTAATAAGATTAAAAAGGTGTCCTAATCTCTGTTTTCTTGTAATCCATTGAGTAGAGTGGTCACAGTAGTAACTCCAGTGTTTATCCTGGCAGCCGTGTTTTGAGGAACTTTGTGCCAAAGAATAAGTCAGCGTTTGCATGAACTATATATATTATGCTTTGAGTTGTTTCAGGCTTTGCTGTATTTTACATGTAAGCACAATAGAAACCTTCTGATGAAGCAGTGGATGGAGAAAGCATCTTTAGGAAGGATACTACTCAATTAGCCTTAAAAATCTTTAGAAAATACTGGCTATTGAGTACTTCATTGTATGCCTGAAAATTGTAGACAAGCAAGCTCATCAAGTCAAGTATACGTTCTCATAGTCAAAACAGCTGCCTACCTTGATGAAAAACTTATTTTTCTACAATTCTGCTTTCAGGGCAGCAAATAAGTGCTTTTAGAGCTAACTGCTGCTGTGATCTTGAGTGTATTAGTTGTGAAGGTACTTAAACGTTTCTCAGTATTACTAATAGAGCAGCTTTGAGACAAATGTACTTAATGCACGGAGCATTCCCATCCTTTAAATTTACTGGATTAGCTTTCAGCCATCAGCCCTCAAGTGCCTGGGCTTTCTGGATTGCCAGTCAGAACATACATAATTTTCCTGTTGTATTTGGGCTAGCAGAAGTGCTGCTCATTCGAACAGCGTGGAACAGAACCACTCTTAACACGCAAAGCTTATCTGAAAATGGTGACTAGGTATTTACTATTTTAATAATCATGTGCATACTTCATCACCTGCTCTTTCTCCCCTTAAAGAGTCCTGTTCCAAATTTTGTGTTACATTCAGTGCCCCATTCAATTGTTCCATGGAACATTCTGGGCAATATTGCGTTTGAATCAGCTGCTGACTCTCTTGAGGGTTTGAAAGCTGATACAATGCTATAATCACAGTGATACAGAGAATTCCCCAGTGAATTAACCCATTTATTTATAGTGTCAGAAAAAAAGAACATACCAAGCTAAATATTTCTGAAAATTAGTTGCGAAGATCTTTTCCTAGCTTTGGGAGTTTGAGATTGGTAGACAGGGTTCACACCTTTTTTATGTGCATAAGAAGATGGCACTGGATTTCAGCTGTTCTCCCTGTGCTGTAGCTGTCTTGCCTGGTTATTAGAAAGGTGCAAATACATTTGTGCTGTTTAGGAGCTGGTAGTCATGAAATTTCCATGCATGTCCCATGTACTAGTTCATCAGTTTCATTCATTTACTATCTCTGTACCCAAGACAGTGAAATGCAACCTTGCCCTTCTGTATCCTGTTGAATTACAATTAGAGCTAGAGTCTTGCAAGGTACAGAGATTTGCAAGATCTGGACAAATCTTTTTAGGTGACAGGGTGCTGGGCAGAGGAGGAGGACTAGAAACAGGGCTGTATGGAGCCTAGATAGTGCCGCGGCCTTCACAGGTTGAACATCCATCCTGTTACTGCTGGTTCTGCAGGGGAGGCTGCCGCTTCCTCAGCCTCACTGAACAAGCCCCATGCAGCTACGGAGCGTCCAGGATTGTTCCTGGGGGAGCCCGGCACCCTCCCAGAGCGGCGCGGGAAGGAGCCCAGGGGATTCAGCTTGCAAATGCCTGCTCTGTAGCAGAAGGTAAACCCCAGAGGCCTCCTAGGGAGGCAAAAAGCTTCCTCGTTTAAAGGAATTAAATGAAAAACATGGCTCAAGTTGTAATCAGAATTTCTGAAATATGGAGTCCTTGTTCATTTTGTTGTTATTTTTTGTTTGTTTTCGTATTTTTCAGGGTTACTTAGATCAAAGGAGGGAGAAAAGACAGTCCAATCCCATGGCTCACATGACGATAGCCCTTAATGTGGCAGTCTGTGTGAAAAGAGTGTAAACTGCAACGTCAGCAACTCTAGAAATTGTTATTTCACCCCAGCTGTAGAATAGGGCCTTAATTATGCCTTGTGGCAAGCGGTCACCAGGGACGTCTGGTTGTCATCTTCAGGAGGTTAATGATTCCTGGAGTCTTTCTCGTCGTGAGATACAGAGCGAGCGCTTAAGAGACTCACTAGCTAAATACTGTGTTACATAACTGTGTTCATGAAGCACAGACCTTCGCTAGCAGCTTAAAACATTTTGTGTAGATGTGTACGGTTCAGAGATTTGGGTTTCTTTTTTTAGTTGGGTTCTTATGGGAACTTGGTTGACACTCAAATGGAGTAACTTTCTAAGAGCTAATAGACACCCCCAGCATATGTTGTTTGTTGTATATAAACAGTCATCATAATTTACTGAAACAGTTTCAAAACTTCATATTTTATTGTAAAAAAAAAAAAAAATCTGTCCCTGTCCCATGCAGGGTGCAAAAATGCAAACTGCACAAACCACATATATGGGTCTTCCTACTTCCAACTAAACAAAAAGAATTCTTTCCGCAAGCAAAGAATATATTCTGAAATTTTTTTAAAAAACACTCCCTCTGGGACCATAAACTATGTTTAGTGCAGTCATCACAACTCCTGCCACAAACCAAATCTGTGTGAAATAAAAGGCGTGAGAGGCTTGTCCAGTTCTGTTGCATGAGCAGTGATTTTTGAGGGGACCGAACACGGTTCTGATATAAAGGCGGGGGGGCTGGTTGCTGGAGCGAGAGGCAGGAGGGCTGCTCGGGTGGCAGTGGCGTAATTGTCTCCTTCCTACAAAGTCTGACTCACCATCCAAAATGCCAGAGAGGAATGTTGCATTTCTGCTTAGGGGATATTCTTAATGCATCAAGTCCATCTGGGTTAAATTTACTGAGCCACGGAACTAAAATACAGGGGCGGATGTGCAAAATACTGACACATTCACTTCAGTGGCTGAGGCATCATCTGTTTCTTGCTCAGAACAGTGATTTGAGAAAACAGTTCTTCTTTGCACAGAATATTGTACACAAAAAGCACTACTAAAAACTGTGAAATTACAAAACAGAGTGTTTTGATCTTAGAAGTTGATGGCTTAATTTCTTTCACTTGTGCATTGTATTTTGTTTGATTAGATGAACCAGCTGAATTGTTTGAAGTGCTTTAGGTGTCCCCCTCAAGCACTTCTAGTTGAGCTTTGTTAGTTTGTGCACTCAAGATTCTACTATATAAATCAATGGTGAGCGGGGGTGGATCATCAAGAGATTCTCATCTAGAGATGATAGGAACCAAAACAGTTAATGTAGATGCCTCCGTTGTTTCTCTGGGATATCTTCATGCCAGACATAGAACAAACTCAGCTCTTCAGTATCCTGCTTTAACCTTCTGTTCCATGAGTAGCCCAGAGTCTCTTTATTGCCTCCTGTTCAAACCTTGCTCTGACTTCAGAATTACTCATGTCCTCACCAGTTCTTCTTGTGGTGCTCATTACACCAGCATGCAAGTGCTAGGAAAATAGTGAGTTCACTTGCACATCATCTGTGTGGTGTGGGAGAGGGCCCCAGGAACCCATCTCTGGCAGTCGCAGACAGACTGGAGAAATCACTGGAAAACCTGCTGACTACATTTTGGATTCCAAGTATGGAATCCATCACATTTGGTGTTTTTTTAAGAGTATTCACTCTTGAGCAGGCTAGTTGGGCTAGATGATCTCCACAGGTTCCTTCCAACCATAATTTCCCTGTGCTTCTGTAACATAGGATTCTTGTTCAAAACCCGATGGCTGTGACCCCAATTGCAGCTGTGAGTGCCCAACCTTTCTGCTAATCAGGCTCCAGAGTCTCGAGCCAAGCACTAGTAAAGTGAAGGAAAGCAATTAATGACAGTATGCAAAAAAGTTGTCATTTAAGCAGCCTTCCTAGCATCCTGCTGGGATCTGAGATCAAGGCCAGGAGAGCTGCAAACTGCAGTATTCATGTGCCTTGGCCATGCTTGCTTTCTGTAAAGTCTCCTGTTTCTTTCAGCCTTTGCAGCAGGTAGAGTAGGAGTTATAGGAGAGAGATATCTTCAGTGGTCTAGGGGGAACTTGGTTTGTCTAAGCTTGTCTAAGTTTGTTTGGAGCTGCACTTTTCTGGAAATAAGGTTGCTCTAGAACTAAATGAACATGGGGCTTTCTGTGTGGATCTGCATCTTGTGGGTTGGAAGCTGTGGTTAATGTGATGGGAGCTTTTCCGCTGGGCCAGACTAAAAGTGGTAGATTGTCATGTAGCTAATGGACTGGATCATAACGTGTCAGCACCGAGAGCCCCAACAAAGCTTGTACAGACAGCATAAATGGGCATTTCCTGACGCTGGAGTGCCTGATGCTGTAACTGTAGAAATATTGCTTTCAGTGCAGGGTGTTTTTCCCTGCAATTGTTCCGCTTAAAAGAAAAACCCTAAGGGGTGAGGCATTGTGCACCATAATATCAGTGGGCTTAACACTGTATAGTGCAATATTTAATGGCAGGCTGTGAAGTCTCAGTCTAATGTCTGCAGTATCTCCAGCAGATACTCACGGTGGTGGCCTTCGCTTACCAAGTCTGAGCTGCAGCACTCTGTTAGACCTTGTTGTGAGCAACTTTGGGATGCTTGTTGGTAGTGGAAAGAATTGAAGAAGCTCAGGGACAAGGAACATGTGTGTCAGTCCCAAATCCTCTACCCCATATTGCCTCCATTCTTGCTCCCAGTCACGTAAGTTAGATACTAATGTCAATGGAAGAGCTTTATTAACCAGGAGAATCATTTGTCACAAGTTACAGCTGGGAAACCAGTATCATTTGCTCTTAGTTGTTAATATAAATCTATTTGAAGAAATGTGTAAAAGAGCAGCTAATCCTTTTCAGAAATCTGCAAGAGA